GGCGGCGGCCCCTTCCCCGGGCAGCCCCGCCCGGACCGGCCCGGCTGGGCGGGGGGTGTCGGGGAAACCCCGAGCTGCCGCTTCACCCAGGGTTTTCTTGCACCGCTGCGGGCGGTGGAGCACAGCGGCTTAGCCTCCCGCAGGTGCATGAGAGCTCTTTTTTCCCCTTGGGGGAGCGCTGACTTATTTCATCCCTTACTGACATAAAGTGCTCAATATTCCCCCCGCCCCGATAAGGAGCAGGCCCGGGGAGGTGTGTCGGCACTGCAGAGCAGTCACTGCGACTTCTGCCCCAAGCAGAGCAAATCCCATCGCTGGAGATGGCGAGCAGCAGCCCGCACTAGGGGGGAGGCTGCAGTACGTCCCCCCCCATCACCGCGGCGTCGCAGACCTTGGCGGGGGGAAGGGGGTGGCGATGATGAGCACACCCTGTCCCGTCCCACCCCGGAGGTGATCTTGCAGAGAGAGGAAAACGAGCGTGTGTGTCCTTGTAGGTGCGTTACAAATAGGTTATCAAGCAGTGGAAGAAGATTAAAATTAGGGAGAGCCAATATCAGGAGGCCATCAGGTCAAGGGCGGGCACACGTGGAGACAGGCAGAACTGCCTGGGCCTCAGCAGACCTTACCGGGTGTTTCATGGGACAGGGAGGGGCTGCTCAGAGAGAGCTGTGAAGTTTTACAAGGTCAGATATTTTTAACCAGAAGGCAGAGTGGCGATGAGGATCAGCCCAGGATTTTGCTGGTCCACGGGGAGCCTGCTGTCATCCGTTGCATTGGTGGGATGTTCAGCCACACATTTACAATTTAGATTTACAGGGGAACGGAGACTTCACTCAGTCCCACTTTAGTCTTTTGACAAGAGTATACCCTGGGCACAAAGGCTGCTTGTGCTGGGGAGAGCAGTGCTTTAGGGAAGGGAATGCTTCTTGAAAAAGGAACTGGAGAGGTCCTATCAGAAAGCCCTATAAGAACTAAGGGATGCCCAGGCACCAACAAGGACCAAGATACATTGAGAAGCCTTCTGCTGTTGCTCCATGTGTTGACTTTGCTTCCTGGCGAGTGGGAACTGAGCATCAGTACATGGGTCAGGCTCCATCCAAGACTACTTTCCCATTCCCCCTGGGCTGTCCTTCTCTCACCTTGATGGAGACACCTCAGCCTAGAAAACATGCTGCTCTAAGGTTTTACAGGTGTTTACTCAGAAGAAAAGATGCTGCTCTGAGGCTTTACAGGTGTTTACTCACATTTTTGAGAGTTAGAGACTTTAAGCTGCCACCCAGATAAGCAGGCTGTGAAAACTGCAGAGGAGCAGCTCTGACAAGATCAGGATAGTTCACACCGATCAGCATTCAGAGCCAGTCAGACAGTCTTAGAAGCAGTTTACCTGGTTCTGTCTGTTACATCCTCTGGGACTGGCCTCCCTTTCCTCACATTTTCTGTATTTTTCTTCAATATATGCATTTTTAAAGAGTAAATGAAGTTATATTATACTTTGCATGAAAGCAGCACAGAGATGATCAAGGCATGAGAACAAGCAAATCACTAGGGCCAGTCACCTCCTATTATAATCGTTGAAATTAGCATTGACTTCACTGTAATCAGCAAAGTTAGCAGAGATCCAAATCAGCTTTTGGTGAATTTTGTATGTGAAGAAACACAGAACTTCTCTGGTCTGTCTTAGAAGAGCCCTGATTTGTCTTTGCTTGAGTTATGTTGGGGGTGTGCCTGTTGCCAGTTCTGTTTCTGACCTTGTTTCTGGCTGACGTTGGACTGATGCTGTAGTCTTGATGTTGGTCCTGTCTCGTTGTTGATCCTACCATGAGTGGGCTGGTCTCATATCCTGTGGGACTGTGCTGTGTTTTCCCTTGGCTCCTGGCTTGCCTTCCCTTGTGGAGAAGCTCTTACTGCTACCCAGCAGGGGCACCAGATGAGTGGAGGGAGGTAATAGATCCACACTCTCCAACTGAAAAGATAGGTGGAAATGTAGAAAGTATGAGAAGGAATTAGCATTTCAGCTGGTTCTCTGAGTAAGAGAATGAAGGTTGCCTGGCAGGCAGTACTGGAATATGTGACGGTCAGCAACAGGACCAAGTACTGAGAGTGTGCTGGTATGGGTGCCTGCCAGAGCATGGAGTGGGAGGGCAAAAGGTCTAACACTTGTCTCCATCTGGAGAAGTGTTCCTCAGAGTACTGCGTGGTTTTTATCCATCAGAGCGAAGAGCTGGGGAGGCTGATGATGCAGATAGCATACCTCAGATGGGTCTGACTTGGACACAAATCTGGGAGGAAGGCCTTGGAGGGCTGTACTGGGACGAGAAAGTAGGTAAGCTGTAGTGCCTGTGGCAGTGAAACGGCAGCTTCTGATATCCTTTATGTTCTGGTGCCTCTCTCTTCTGCAGAGAAGCCCTGGAGCTGCATGAAATACAAAAATACAGACTCTGTTCTGCTCAATTCCAATAGGCATTTCAATAGTAAAATCTTAGAGCTGAGGGAGAAAAGGATGAGGTAAACGAAGTGGCAGTGTGTTTCTGTGGCAGACAGTAGTGTGGAGAGTAGGAGCAGCTGCTCGTTTGAATACTCAGCATTAAATTATGTGGGTGAAGAATCTGTCTGGTGTTATTCTTTATTATAAAGCTTATTTTGAGACCTTCAGAGTTCCCCCATTATCCTGAAGGACAGTTATGATGCTGATGGTCCTTTGGCACTCTTGGAAAAAAAGAAACCCATAGTTCCTCTTCACTGTCATGTTCTAAGGCACTTTCACTGTTACATTTGCCAGACTTGTGCTGCTGTCGCAGAGCACTATCATAGTCCTTGTAGAGGGTTTGCATGGCATGGTTTTGGTAGTGGTGAGACTACAGGGGTGGCTTCTGTGAAGAGCTGCTAGAAGCTTCCCCTGTGTCTGATAGAGCCAATCCCAGCCGGCCTCAAGGTGGACCCACTGCTGGCCAAGACCGAGCCCATTGGTGATGCTGGTAGTGCTGCTGTGGTAATATGTTTAAGAAGGGGAAAAAGCCTGCACAATGGCAACTTCAGCCAGAGAGTGGAGTGAGAATATGTGAAAGAAAACAACTCTGCAGACACCAAGGTCAGTGAAGAAGGAGGGGGAGGAGGTGCTCCAGGCACTGGAATAGAGATTCCCCTGCAGCCTGTGATGAAGACCATGGTGAGGCAGGCGATGCCCCTGCACCTGTGGAGCAGATACCCACCTGCAGTCTGTGGAGGACCCCACACCAGAGCAGGTGCTTGTGGCCCTGTGGGAAGCCCTTGCTGGAGCAGGCTGCTGGCAGAACTTGTGGCCCTGTGGAGAGAGGAGCCCATGCTAGAGCAGGTTTGCTGGTAGGATTTGTGAACCCATGGGGGACCCATGCTGGAGCAATCTGCTCCTAAAGGACTGCAGGCCGTGGAAGGGGCTTGAAGAACTTCATGGAGAACTGCAGCCTGTGGTAAAGACTCACGTTGGAGGAAGTTTGTGGAGAACTGTCTCTCATGGGAGGAATCCCATGCTGGAGAAAGGGAAGAGTGTGATGAGTGCTCCTGCTGAGAAGGAAGGAGCAGCAGAAACAAGGGTAATGAACTGACCGCAACCCCTGTTCCCTGTCCCCCTGTGCCTCTGGTGGGGGAGGAGGTAGAAAAATTGGGAGTAAAGTTATCTGGGAAGAAGGGAGGGGTGGGGGGAAGGTGTTTTAAGGTTTGGTTTTATTTCTCATTGCGCTACTCTGATTTGATTGGTAATAAACTCTCACTATAGAATAGTATACCTAGTTGTTAAAGCATTTTCTAGGATGATTAGAAAATTATCTTTGAAATTTTGCAAGGAGAAAAGATAACTAATCTTATCTGTGTTTGAGAGTAGGAATGTGAAATGTTGCATATTGTAGCTGACTTTTAAGCGTGCTACCTCATAATTTTGATTTTAAAGATTAATTGGAAGCTAACTTTGAACTTGAGGGGATTGGGGTGGGTAAGGTTCAGGGCAATAAATTCTGATTGGAAACAGATACTTTCTGAAGTCTGTAGTCTGACACCAGAGTTGCTGAGATAGCTGAGTTAATAACTGAGTTAATACTCAGCTTTGTTATCAGTGTATTAAATTGGTGCTTCTAGTGGTAGATCACACTAAGGGGCCTAACTTGTTACATGTAATTATAGAGTGAGGTCGCTTACCTCAAACTGTACCGCTTACTACACGACCCATTTCCTTGCCCTGTCCATTTCTTTGTCCTGTGATTCTTGAGGATATTGGTCCCTAACAAGTGCTGTTGAGAGGTCATTGATGATGTAGATTATTCCAAAATGTTAACAGTCCAGTGAGTAACAAGCAAATCTCCTAGATGAGGCAGTCTGTATTACTGCATACTGGTACACTGAGGGGCCAGAAATGTTTTATTATTTGTGACTGCTTCTGCTTCCATCATGTCTGCATTTAAAACGTTAAGAATAGGGATTTCCATGGTGCTAGCATTTTGCAGCGTTGTGACAATGTGTCACTCTGCTCCCCTCCCTTCTGGGCAGTTCCGGACACTGCCTGGTACGTACCATTTACTAGCATTGTCTGTAGAAGTTGAGCTACTCCTGCAATTAAAGTTGAGTTCTGCCAAAAGCCAGAACACACCTGCACATCTGGATTGTCAATTGGTATTCTTATCTTGCAAGGCTGTTGCCTGTTTATGTGTGTTGTTACAGTGCTTTGTTATTTATCAAACTCTGAAATTCATACTGATTCCAGTTCACCCATTTCTCTATTCTCATTGTGCTGACCAAATGCAGGCTGTCTACTTAATACTTTGATTTTTTCTGTACAGGAGTCATACTTCCCATGACAATGAGGGAAATAGCATATTCCTTTAACAGAGCTTGCAAAATAGTTTAAATTAGAGAGAAAATTCTCTTTCTGGTTGTATATTTTTTATACTCACCTTTGAATATTCTGCTCTTGTGT